AATTTAATGTGACTCAGTTGTTCTCTGTCCTGATAATACAAGTGGTGAGAAAGTCGCTTAATCCTACAGGCATCCCCTCTTGTCAGCACCTCTTTATTTCCCTCTTTAAAGGCTCAACATGTTTTGATTTACAATACTCACCAAGATAACTGCAGGTGCCCTCTCTAAAAAGCAAGGTTAACTAACCTGAGATGAATTCTTTTATTGTAAACAAAAGCAACACATGAGCAGGAAATACAATTAATACAGGTGCTTCTCTGAAATTTAGCAAATATCTGTTGTTTTTGAAAGGAAAAAAAAAAAAAAAACTCTGTTGCCTGGAGGTTTGTTTCATGCTATTTCAGTGAAGAAGGGATTTGAATTAGAATACATTTGAAGGAAAAAGGAATAGCAGAGGCCCCAACAAAGATCCCATGTAAGGAACTATAAATTGTTGAAGGACTCAGGTTATTCACGGGTAAGCAAAGTATTGACCCAAACTGACGCTAACGTGTGAATTTCTGGGTAGAAGCCGTCCAATGAAATCATCAGTTTTATATGGCATGTATGTGTAGAGCTAGCTATATTCTTGGGAAGTAACTTTTAAAAGTACTCCAGTTAAGGCAACCTTTGTAGAACCTGTCATTTGACTCTCCTTGGAAATATATAATGAATATATTAATTCAAGGAAAGTGTTTTTAACTCTGTTAGAAGGAGGCAGATGTGCTAGCTTTCTCTTCAGTTTGCTTGAGGTTCGGAGTTCGCTATTCTAATACAGTTCATTGTTTTTTTAAACCTCAGAAGTTAACCGAAAGTCTTTTATTGTGAAGTGTAGGTAAATCTTTTCAGGTGGTGCTGAAGAGATGTGCTGTTCGTGTAAAGAAATGATCAAAAAAGGAAATCAGGCAAAATAAATACTGCAGTCCTACCAAACAGCTTAATTTTGTGAATCTTGTGTAGTTAGAGAAAATTAAGATTAAAAGCCATGAAAAACAAAAGGTGGAAATTGTAGACTTAACAGGAACACCTGACAAGCAGTTACAATTAAATTGCCAAGTATATTACATCTAGTTTTAAAAATCTTGATCATTTCTCTAAACAGGTAATGTTTCTTCTGCCTTTTAACTCTTGGTCGTGATATTCATTTACTTTAGACAGTTTCATCAAGAAAAGTGTTACTTTTCACCACTGGCTGGGGTCCTTTTTCATATGCATTCGCCTAGGGAACCACATTCCTATGTTTGTAACCCCGACCCTCCCTCTGACAGTCTTCTTCCTCCACAGAGCACACACATAAAATAAGGTTTCTACACATGATTTTGGCATAGCCACACTTCCTCAATGGCGAATCTACCTGCTCTTGGAATGACAAGATGACAAGCAAGGCTGCATGCTCAATTACACCTGCTCCTCTTTTTAAGTAATTGCCTTAGATCTTGCCAAATGATGTGCTAGTTTTCTCAGGCACTCTAATTTAAATTAGAATGAAGCTGCTAAACTTTTATCAATTACTACATCCTAAGCAATGTCTTTGTTTTCAAGAATTCTATCTTTCATGACCCAATTACAAATGGCTAAAGAATCCCGCAGTTTCAGACCCCAGTATATATAATCACTATGTTTCCTTAAGCATAGTCTGTATGTATAACTGGTTTTTCTGTATCTGTATTATTATATCAAAAAAAAGAGTGTTTGTTCGTGGAGTTTCCTGTGACTTGTAGAAGTAACAGCGACAAAGGAGCTAAGTTGCCAGATTTAGCAAATAAAAATACAACATGCCTAGTTGAATCTGAATTTCTAATAAAAATGAATTATTTCTTAGTATAAGTGTGTCCCCTGCAATATTTGGGACATAATTATAGCAACAAAAATTTGTTGTTTATCTGAAACTCAAATTTAACCAAGCACTCTGTATTTTATCTGGGAACCCTAAAGTTGAGTAAAGCCAAAACTGATTTATATTTATGTGTTTCTATGAGTAATATTTTACCGGGAAATGAATGAGTTATATTTCAATTTTGATATTGGGGAAATATGAGATGATTAATTTAAATAATAGGTAAAAAATAAAATATAATTGGCAAAAAATATTAGCCTAAATGGGGGTTTCATGCCTTTTTTGCATTCTAGTAAAATATAAATTTTCTCTGTATGCGTAAATGTGAAAACTCCATTGTTTTCTGCCTGAATTAGCATTTGTTATTTTTGTGCGTGACCCTCTAAAACACATTCCATTACTCAAGTCATCTGCAGTCACTCAAAACTGGTGAAGCCTTATGAGAATAGCAAATGGAGAAATAGTAGTCTGATTAAAATTAGCTCAGTCTGAGGAAGAAGGGACTCTGCTTTAAACTGGGACTGTCATAGGAAAAATATTAGGAAACAAATACCTCAGGTAAATTTCAGAGTCCAAGATAATTTATTTTCAAAATCATAATTTCAGTACAGAATGTTCTAATTTTTACCTTTTTTAGTGGATGGGAATTTAATACCTGTAAACACTATAAATTGTAAATGTAGGTTGTAAATGACCTCATGTCACTGGAGATGGGAGAAGGAACCAGGGCTGGATGTCTCAGCAGTGGCAGCAGGTGGGGGACACACAATGGAGTTACACACGGGGAGTGCTAGGTGCTTTGAACATGGTTCATCCTGTGGTCTCACTTCAGCCTTGGGGGTATCCCTAAAAGGTAGTTACTTATGTGGTCTTACACTTGAGATCAACTCAGCAAGAAGCACACACAGTGACCAAACAGCACAGCCTGGATTCAAACCCAAGCCTCAGTGTGTGCTCTAATCCAGGACTGGGCCATTTCCCCTCCCAGGGGGTTGAGTCCCGGAACCACCTGGAGGGCCTGGTAGCAGGCACCGCTCTGTCCAGGCATGGAGGCAGCCAAGCAGAATGAGTCATCCTACTCCAAGTGCAGGGGAGGATAATGGGAAGGCAGCAGAGGGCAGGTGGAAGGAGCTGAGAGGCCAGGTCAACGGGCCTCCCAGCCACAAGCCCTGAACAGTGTGGTTCCCACTCCTGGGTGCAGCCTTCAGGCAGGCAACAGCCATCATCAGAGACAAGAGTCATCATCAGAAAACTTTTACTTTTACGGTTCATGATCATTAGAAAAATACTGTAGTTACAAAATCAGTTGAATGCATTTTCTCATGATTTCTTTCCTCACAAATTTTATACTATAAGCCAATTTAAAAACTAGTTTTCATATAGTTATGTGCTGCAAATATTTTGATTATTAGAGTTTTACACATAGTTTTATCATCTGTGTGCTAATATTTACTCTATGTATGAATTGGCATGTTTCTTATTTATTTTTCTTTCTTTCTTTACTATTACTTTTTGAGACAGGGTCTTGCTCTGTCACCCAAGCTGGAGTGCGGTGGTATGATTGTGGCTCACTGCAGTCTCCACCTCCTGGGCTCAAGCAATCCTCCTGCCTCAGTCTCCTGAGCTCCCACATCTGGCCTATTTTTTTTTTATATTTAACATCTGTCTCTTAATAATCCTCACTGTCTTTTTTCCTTCCTTATTCTTTAAATACACAGAGTTCAAAATAGAAAGAAAAGAGAGTACTGGTACTTCTATTATTATGATGAAACGAGCTTTTATTATCAAATAATACACCTATCATGTCAAACCTAATGTTGTTGCTATACTTTTGAAGTCCCCAAAATGAAATACCTTTCTTCTCTCTGTCTCTCGTGTGTGTGTGTGTGTGTGTGTGTGTGTGTGTTTGTAGACATGATCTTGCTCTGTTGCACGGGCTGGGGTTCAGTGGTATGATCATGGCGCACTGCAGCCTCAACTTCCTGGGCTCAGCTACGATAGCCTCCCAAGTAACTGAGACTACAGGCATGCACCACTACACCTGGCTAATTTTTAAAATTTTTGTAGAGATGAGGTCTCACTATGTTGCCCAGGCTGGTCTCAAAGTCCTGGGCTCAAGCGATCCTCCCACCTCAGCCTCCAAAAGTTCTGGGATTACAGGCCTGAGCCATCTGACTCAGCCACCTTTCTTCTTAGTTGGCTTGATGAGGTGTAAGGCAATGAAAAAAATATTCTTTTTAGGTGCTCTAAGGGGTGAACAATGGGCATATAACATATAATACTTCGTTGTTAACATGACAAAGTATAGGTACTGGGTCTATTGTACAAAGTTTTTCTCAACTCATTTTATCTAGTTTTCTACAATGTTCAATAGTATGCATTAAATTAAATATCTCTGCAGTGTCTGTGGGAAGATGTCAAATTTATTGAACAAGGTTATAATATAAGTGAGTATATTACATGTATGTGTACATATGTATTCTAATATTTAAAAATCTGTTATTTTACCGTAAACTATCCTACTCTGTAATATTATCAATATCAGTAAAATCACCTATCAGTTGCTTTAGAAGAGTTCAGAATGTCCATTTTCCTGGGGGGGGTGGGGGGAACAAGAAAGTCTTAATCGTAAAGCAATAGGAAAACATAGCCAAAAAAGTTCAAGATGCCCTGTGAGAACAGATCTGTCACCTGGCTGTGCACCAACCAGAAGCAAGGCACACACTCACTGCTTGCTGCGGTTGTCTGAAGTGGAGAACTGGGTAAATATTCCCAACATGGGGGAAAGAGAGAGCAAGAAATGAAAAGAAAGAACAGCTCAAAGCAGATAGTGGAATGCAGAAGTGGTAATGGGTCTAAAGCACTGATAGCACAAAATCAAGACTACTCCAAGGAAGAGAACAGAAGCCTTTTTCAGAATAGAGGGAGAATGTTATTCTTCTGAGATCTATGGAAATCAGTATCTAAAATATGAAAGGTACCATGGGAAAAAGAAGGTTCTGTGGTCAAATATACTTGAGAAATACAAATACTCTCATCTTGGAGATTTACAATGCATACCTAAACATTATAATTTCTGAGAGTGCCTATTTTTTAAAAAGTATCTTTAATCTTGTTAATAAATGTATTCATGTTTCATATTGGTGTCCTTACACTTATTTGACTATGGTATTGTTTTTTTCAGACCACCTGGTAACATTCCCAATTGTGTGAATGGATGAAGCTGTGAACTCTTGTGTTTTGCGGTTAGTGGTTGTTTGGAAACCTGAATATGGATAATATCAATACCTCAATGGTACCTGAAGACATCCATAATGCACTGGTAATGGGCAGAATAGCAAAGTGGTTAAAAACAGGAGCTTTGGATTGGGTAATCCCCGGGCTCAAATCTCAGGTATTCTACCTGCCTTGCCAAAGTCCCTGACTTCTTTATGTCTCTATTTCCTCATCTGTCAAAAAGAGGGGAAAAATAAAGATAACAGGACCTATTTCATTAGTTTTGGGGCGGTGTCAGATGAGATATTTCCTTTAAAACACATAACATTCTGCCCAGCACATGGGAAACAAAAAACCTAAAGAATCCGGCACTCAAATCTCCTCTTCTGTGAATTCTCTAGGAAGAGTTTTTATCTGGCTACTAAAGTGGTTTTTGGAGAATAGAGATTAAATGAATACCGCATCTCTGACCAAGGCAACATGATGTCTGGGACTACAGTCAAATGTAAGTATGATCTTACCAGACCCATGGTGGATTGAGAGGATTCTGTGAGATTACATGTGTGAAGAACTTTGTGGTCTAATGGCTAGTAGCAGGTATGGCTATTTCATTGTGGGAGGGAATGAACTGACAGGCAATATAAATAAGGTGAGTTGGGTCTCTTACCCATTTTCACACATTTTCAATATCTTCTTTGCTGGGACATGTACAGGCTCTGGGATTTGTGTCTGTGAGCTCAGGCAGGAAGAATCCTTCTTACCACTGACAGCTAGAATTCTGTAGGAAAGAAGGAAAAATCTCAGAGAGGTGGTAAGCTCTTGTAATGGAGACCAGAAAGTCAAGCGTACACTGTATTTTTCCTTGAGTCAGTGAAAAATTCCCATCTTCATCCTTTTTAAAATTGAGAGTTGGCCAGACGTGGTGGCTCATTCCTGTAATCCCAGCACTTTGGGAGGCCAAGGCGGGAGGATCACGTGAGCCCAGGAGTTCAAGACTAGCCTGGGCAACATAGCGAGACCTCATCTCTACAAATAATTTTTTAAAACCGAAATAATTTAAAAAATTGAAAGCTGAGGAAATAGGTTTAAATTTTTTTAAATTTAGTAACAATTATAGATCCACAAGAAGTTGCAGAGATAATAGAGAGGTCCTATGCACCACTCACCAATTTCCCCTATTGCGTACACCTTAGGTGGCTATAGCTCAATATCAAAATCATATTGGTATAAAGCATGTACATAGTTCTAGGCTATTTAATCGCATGTGTACTTTTACCACCAGAATTAAGATATAAAACAAAACACTTTATTTTACCTGTTTTACTCTTTTCAAGAGGCAGTCTTATAAAAAGAGTTCACATTGCTATGAATATTAGTTTTAGTAATTATACTTCAGTTTTCACAACTGGAGGCAGGGTTTTGACATCATAATTCAGGATTTTTATAGGATTCTGAACATCTCTTCTATGACTACAATGTGCTTCTCCTTTCCTCTTTGTAAATCTGGTCATCATATGTAAATACTTTAGGAACTCGCTTTACATTCTAATTCAGTTCTTCTCCTCTGTCATCATTTATGATTGCATTGGAGGAAATGTATGTGTTTTACAAAAGGCAAAATGTGCTGAAGAAAGAACCAAATGGTGAAACAGATCCCATTTAAAAAGCCATAAACAAGCTTACAGCAGTAAGTGGTGACATGAATAAATTGCTTTTGCAGGAAAATTCAGACTTAATATCATTACTAAGCCACAGCTGAAAGGCATAACTATATTTCAAATGGTAGTAATGACTAGCACCATTGGATTAGAAATGATTTCATGATGGCATCATAATGATTTATTTTTTTTTTAAAGAGAGAAACTTGGAATCTCATCATGGTAGTTAGAAAAATAAAAATTCAATGATGATATGACTCTACTGTATTCTTTGCCAGGTTTTCCTCTGGTCTTTAATACAAATATGTCAAGATTTAAGAGATCATTTCTCACAGTTTTAGTGTGGTTACAGTTCCTAGTTTCTTATAGGGCATAATTGTGACATTCATAGTTCAACAAAATGTTGAACTTATTAGACATGCAGGCTAGTGACTGCTATTATAACCAATAATTGTATCCATAAAATGAATTCTTCACAATAAATAGAGAACAAAGCTTTGTTGAAATTGAGAGGCTGGGTGGGCATCTGTACTCACTAACTATACTAGCAAAGGGTCTGGCTCTGGCACCCAGCCTAACATTAATTAGCAGCATTTTGCTGAGTGTGTTTCATAAAATAGGATTGTCTCATAAGATGCTTTCTATGAAAATAATTCTGTTTTTTACACTACAACCAAGACATTATTGCTGTTAATACAGATTTTCCCATATCTTTACCAATGTCTTGTCTTAGCATTCTCCCTTACGTACAAGTTCTTTTAGGGATCATTTTTTCTTTGCTTTGACATTCTTCTCTTAGAATTTTTTTTTGGAAAATAGATCTTTTAGTTTGTTGGAAATGTGCTAATTTCACACTGGAAGATGTTTCACTGGCTATACAACTCTAGGTTGACAGTTATTTTCTCTTAGCATTTTGAAGATATTATCCCATCTTCTGATGGTCTCAATCAAATTGTCATTTGTTTTAAGCTATCTGGTGTTTTTTTTTTTTCTCTATCCCCTTTTAAGAACCTCTCTTTTCTTTGGCAATCTGTAGTTTCATTGTGTATCTAAATGTCTTTTTCTTTTTTCCTTTATCTTATTTGTTTCTTAGCAGGATATTGACTCTAAGGGTTTGTGTTTTTATTTTTTCTGCAAAATTCTCAGTGTCATTTTGAATTGTGTCTTTCCCCAATTCTATTATCCCCCTCAGGAAATTTGATTAGAGATTTGTTAGACCTACACTCCATGTTCACTGATTTTATTCTGTCCAATCAGCTGTTAAAGTCTAATCTACTGTTTAGTCCATTGAGTTTCTAATTATTTTTACAAGTTCTTTGGTTCATTTTTTATTTTGCCTGGTCATTTTTCATAGTCTTTTATTTCTTAATAATACTTAAAGAGTCTCTTATTTCTTTAAGCATATTAAAAATACCTATTTTATATCCTGCATGTAGTAATTTCTACTTCCACAGTCTTACTGGGTCTAACATGTATTGGTGGTGTGTTTTTTTTCTCTTCCACTCTATTGACTCTTGCTCATGGCGGTTTATTTCCTCACTTAATATGATAGTTTAAATTTTGATCTCACATTCCTTGGAATTTGGGCTGTGGAAACTTTTTGAAGCTCAAGTTTAAAGTGTTTTTCCTTAGATATGATTTATTTTTGCTTCTATCAGTCACCTAGGAGCACTACATAACCAGATCAGTTCAAATTAAATCCTGAATTCTGGGTTTTCCAAGGGCATTGAATTCTTTGAAATCCATCCCCAAACCCATGTAAAGGCTTCTTTGTGGTTTTGAATTCTCAGGGAAACATTTTCCCAAACGCATCCACCAAGAGCCAAGTTGAAGACAGCAAACATCTGTTTTATATTTCTCCCTGCTGGATGTTTTGTTATTTAATCAATACATTATGAATTATAAATAATTTTATAATAAATAATTTTATAATTAATTGTAACATTTTTACCTTTTCACCCAAAGAGTCACTTTGAGAGGTTTTGGGTTTATACAGGAATCTCTGATCCAAACCTTTTTCCTTGAGCAGGCTTAGCCTTCTTTGGTCCTCTAAACAGATATGGTCCATTAAGGCCCAGACTCTAGGACACCAGCAGATGTTGGATGCTCTCAAAGCAGCTGCCAGTGATAGTATTTTGTTTACTCTATGCGGCCATACCTTCTCATGGTTAGGGCTCAATTTCTTGCCAGCTCAGTTATTTACTTAAAGACCAAATATTGCATCCATCATTTCTTTCTTCCTTTTTTCTTTCTCTCCCTCTTCCTTCCTTCCTCCCTTCCTTCCTTCCTTTCTTTCTTTCTTTCTTTCTTTTTTCTTTTTTTTTTTGAGACAGAGTTTCCCTCTTGTTGCCCAGGCTGGAGTAACAGTGGTGTGATCTCAGCTCACTGCAACCTCCAACTCCTGGGTTCAATCGATTCCCCTGCCTCAGCCTCCCGAGTAGCTGGGCTTAGAGGCACATGCCACTATACCTGGCTAATTTTGTATTTTTAGTAGAAACAGGGTTTCACAATGTCGGTCAGGCTGGTCTCGAACTCCTGACCTCTGGTGATCCACCCGCTTTGGCCTCCCAAAGCGCTGGGTCTACAGGCATGAGTGACCATGCCCAGCCTGTATCTATCATTTCTAATTGTTCTATATTAGGAAGGTTTTTATGATGGCTTCTTTGCCATATTACCTAGAACAGAATTCGTAATTGCATTTAAACATAGAAAGAAAACTACCTCAAGAAATAAGGACAATAAAATAGCCAAGTAAATTGAATGGTAGAATTGAGGAAAGAGAGGTAGAAGCAAGTATATGTATTTATTGTTCATAGTAGAAAGCAAGATGATATGTATTTAAAATGAAATTAAACATATGTGAAATTATAAAGATAAGCACTGTAAACCATAAAAAAGATAATAAAGCTTTCCAATTATTAGGAGGAAAATGCATGCACAGAAGCAAAGTAAAGTGAACAGACAGAGCCTAAAAGGCAAAAGAATACATAAGTTTAAGAAAATACTTACAAATAAACAAAGCACAGTAAACCAGACAAAGTAATAAAACATAAAGGTAAAAGGTAACTAAATGTCAGAATTAAGATGTGATGGCAGAACTAAAATACACAGTAAAGATAAATCTTATAGACTCACCTATGAAAATACTTTCAGAATAAGTCACAAATAAAAATTCAACTTTCTTCTGAACTGAAGAAATGCTTCTAAAACAAAGTGTCTCAGATGATTGAAAGGAAAAAGATAAATACACTGTAGCATGCCTATGAAAACACAAAATTACGTAGGGTCTGTAATATCAGACAAGATTGAATTCACAGCAAAGAAATATTACATAAAACTAAGAAGGCATTGTATGACAAATGCTATTATTCACAGGAAGGTGCAATAATCATAAATACTTACCTACTAAATAGCATAGAATAAAGATTCCTAGGGTAAAACTTTAACATATACAAAGATAAATGGATACACAGAATATAATAATAGGTGTACATGTGTCATCTTCTTCAAGGAGATCAAAATAAGAAAAAAGGGGTATTTCCTTTTTTGGTGAGTTATTTGAGTTCCTTATAGGTTCTGGATATTAACCATCTGTCAGATGCATAGTTTGCAAATATTTTTTTCTCAGTCTATAGGTTGTCTGATTACTCTGTCGATTGTTACAGAATGGCTATTATTAAAAAGTCAAAGTGGGCAGAGCCCACCACAGTGCTACAAAGCCGCTGTAGCCAGACTGCCTTTCTAGATTCCTTCTCTCTGGGCAGAGTATCTCTGAAAGAAAGGCAACACACCCAATCAGGGGCTTGTAGATCAAACTCCCATCTCCCTGGGACAGAGCACCTGGGGG